TCCATCCAGCCGTCCATCCATCCGTCCATCCATCCATCCATCCATCATCCATCCATCCATCCATCCATCCAAACAGACGCAGCATAGCTAACACATACTGTACTGCAGTACTGTACTGTACTACACACATATGACTGGACCAGTGCTCACTCTCTTTTTATAGCCTGGTTTCACACCTAGATCACAGCAACCTACTCCACCCCCCACCCACCCCCACTGTACAGACACTAAAACACCAGCCACCGGCGCTGCTCCAGTAAGTTGTTGACACAGCGTTCCGGTTTTGCATAATGAGGCGTAATTTGACGTCAGCGAGTCGTTCATCTCTGGATATTTGTCAGAGGAAGTGAAGGACAAACACCCACGGTCATCAGGTGTGAGTACTCATGCCAAAGTTCAGTTTGTGGCGCGGTGCGGGAACTGCACTTGATTTGTGGTTTGATTTCCCTTTTTGATCGATGACAAATTGACAAATGAGAAACTTTAGGGTTGACGTTGCGCAGCTTTTCACAGGGTTTTCTGACTGAGTGGTTCATTCAGATTTACAGTCCAACGTGGTAATAACGTTTTTAATTTCTATGGACATAAATGTAGCATCAGCGAGGCTCCTTCTAAGGAGCTCCTTTTGTTGTAACGTCATATTTAAGAGAATTGTATGAAGGGAATCTGTTTAGGGTTGGATGGTTGTAGGGATGCCCAAAGTGTGGGGCGTGGTCCCCCTAGGGTGACACATTTGTATTATGTAAGACAATTGTATGTTGGGAATCTGCCCAGCGTTGGTACAATAATCCTATCTGTCGCGGCTGTTACTGTGTTACATCACTTTTCTCCACCTTCCGACCGTTTACACGGAACGTTGAAGATCAGACGGGCAGGAATTCTCTGCACCAAACTGTTAGCATGACGTCGGCCTTCTCAACGTTCTGAACCAGTTGATCATCTTTATGAGCAAATCATAGCAACACTTTGTAGCAGAGCCTGGTCCAGGACCCAAAGCTGCTCTGAGGATACACTAGATGCGGTGTAAACACACACACACACACACACACACACACACACAGCATGTTTATTGCTGTCTACTGCACTTGGAAAATAAACAGATCAAGAAACACATTCTCAACAGCGATAATGCAATCGACTGTTACCACAGAAGGAGATGATGTGGCTGCTGTCTGTGTGAACAAATTTCCTTGTTACTGCCTCCTCCATAATTTGCTTCACCTGAAGAGAGAGTGGAAGAGAGAGAGGGAGAGAGAGAGAGAGAGAGAGCCAACAACAGTGAAGATGAGACCGGGCGTCTTCTGTGTGAGTCCAGGAAGGATTTTAATAGAAAACAGATGGATCTGATATGAAGTATCATGTAGCCATGCAGGGTCTGTTTGAGGGAAGCGCTCAAAGTCAAAGAGGTTTTTAAGATTTGAGTTTTTCCTTCACCTCTCTGTATGTTAACACGTTAATCGTTGGGAGTTCGGTATTGTAGTTCGTAGTTTCTGTGGGGTTTTTTTTTTCCAACAACAGTGAAGATACGACAGGTGTTTTCTGCTTTTCGTCTTCACAGGTTTGAATAATTCTTCTGTGACTCGCAAACTGATTTTGACACTAAAAAGAAAAAAATTCAGGACTGTTTAAATTAAGGGGTGTCAAACATGCGGCCCGTGGGCCAAAACCAGCCCACTGGGGGGTTCAAACCGGCCCGCTTGATGAATTTTGAGTATAAAAAAAATGCACAAACAAACAAACAAACAAACAAACCAAACCAAAAAATAAGTTTGACACCCTTGTTTTAAATGCATCGGAAACAGTGTCGCTGCATCACGGCTGATGCTAATATGCTAGCCTTCTCACGTAACGTTGTGAAAATTACTGAAATAAATGGTCATTTGACAAATGTTTGCAAAAATGTGCTTCAAGTGTTGTTTGTGTGTAACTCTGGCTTATTCTTATGTGATTCTTAACGAGTGTAATCAACACCTACCCTTTGATCATTTAAGATACAGATTGGCCTTCGTTAATAGTAATAATAATAATAATAATAATCTGCTGGATTTCCCGATGTCAGAGTTTCAGCCTCGCTGCAGGATCTGGTACCAGAATTGTGGGAGTCTGACAGACAGTGAGTCACGGGTGAGGGGGAGCACAGCCACGGTGTGCCTTCAAGAAGCAGGGTTTTTCTTACTGATGAATAAAACATCTTCTCTTCTCCTCCCGGNCAATCCTTCATTTCCAGGTAGATCCACATCAACACGGCTTCATGTTCAGCCGTACAACACCCAGACTGGATGATCAATATAAAAATTCATATTTTTGAATTTAATATTTTCTAAAAAACAAACAAAAAACAAAACCCAAAAATAACTGACATCAAGGTCACAACATAAAGTGTTCAGTGATGGTTTGGAAATGTTTGATTTTTAGTCAGACTTCAGATTAGGAAGAAACAGAAACGTGATTAAACTGATGGACGGGCAGCGGCTTCACCTTGATATTAAAATGATATCCATCATCATCATCATCATCATCATCATCATCATCATCATCATCATCATCATCATCATCATCATCATCATCAGTAATATCGTCATCAGTGTCATCATCACTACCACAACAACCCTCGTCGTCGTCGTCACTGCCATCATCTTACATCTTTCTTGCTCCGGCCACTCGAACACAGACCATAACAACAGACTGACTCCTCGGCTGCATCCACCGTCGTGATGATGTTAAACAGATGGATGGATGAAAAATGATAAACAGGACTACGTGTGTGTGTGTGTGTGTGTGTGTGTGTGTGTGTGTGTGTGTTTAACACGTCCATGGCTGGACGAGGGAGGAAAGATGTCCACACGCAGTCACAGACTAACACAGCCGTGGTTCTCTGCATCTCACAGTGACCACACAATCTGCCGTGAGCAGGACGGGAAATAATAATAATAATAATAATAATAATAATAATAATAATAATAATAATAATAATAAAATATAAGAATAAAAACGTGCAGCAAACCTCTTTCTTCACATTGCGCAGCAGTTTCTGACGCGTCTCGGCCTCTGTGACGGGAGGAAACATTGGTGAATCGAAGTGATCAGAGATGCTCTACAGGAAATGAATGATCCACGGCAGATGGTAACACTAAATCAAAGCCGTACCTCCCATCGCTGCTCACTGGATGGTTGGATGTGTGCTGACGGCCGACGGATCCGTGGTTATTATTCCCCGGTGGAGATGACGGCGTAGTAAACAGCCGCGGCGGAAATAAAAAGGTGGAGGACGCTCCGAGATGTACGGCGTGTTCCCAGCGACTAAATTAAACCAACTACCTCCGCTACCTCCGAGGCAACCAACACCCCTTTAAAGACACAGTAACAGCCCCGCCGTCCAGGGAAACACGGACACGCACGCACGCGCACGGACACGCACGGTGCAGTGCCTCAGTTCGAACTCCAGTCGATTTTCCACATTTAATTCCAGTGTTTCCCAAAGTAGGGGGCGGGTATTCTGGGTGGCGCAAAACCTACTGCAACTAGGGAACAACACATTTGTTAAATTTTAGGAATGACAGAGCTTTAAAAACATTCTCTAGATCAGTGAGGAATCTACAGAGAGGGGTCGCTGTTTTGGTACCAAAAAATGTATTTCTAGGAATGGTGTCACTTTCATTTTTTTTCAAAGATCTTTTGTTGGCAGTTGATGTTTTACCTTCAGTTGTTCGTTTTTGAGGGTCTGCGATGTACCCCTGCCCTCGGACATCGACAGCTAGGATTGCCTCCCGTGCCCCTCCCACCATCGCAAAGAAATAAGATGTATATCACAGAAAGCGAATGGTTAAAGAACCCGATTAAATGAAATGTAACGCACCTCAAACATTGACATAAACAGAATTTTGAAAGCTGTTGAGAGACATGTATCAACATGTTTGAATTTGTAATCTAATCTTAGCTAAAAAAAAAAAACAAAGCTCCAGTAGGTGGCAGTTATTACAGTAATGGTCGAATGCTTCTGTTAAAAACACAAAGAAAACGTGTGGGAGGATAGGAAAGATAAACCTAGCTTAAGTGAACTTTAGACGAGATAGCGTACGTGTCGCGACACACCGTACTGTAATAGCGTTACTTAAGACTAGGATATACTGCATGTGTCACGTTTTAGAAAACACTGGTTTAAGTTGTTAAAGGCACTCAGGTCCATGAAGTACTGCAAGCATTGTAATATATATTGTACTACACAATACCAGCCAGTTGTGTTGTTTACGTTGATCTTCAACATACATTTTTCTGTTGTGTTTACTTAATAAAAAGAACGATCTTTAAGCTCCAAACCAAATGCGTATTTTACTTGTTATAAAAAAACTTTTGGCAAAGGAAAATGATAGTTTGTATTTAAAAAAAAACCAAAAAAACAATGATGTTGTACAAGCAAATATACTCTATCACTTTATCACTCTAGCACCCCCTACAGGGGAGGGAGGAGACGTGTGTTTGTAAACCATAGTCAGGAATTGTTGCATGCTTTTCACGAGAGATATTTTTATATTGTGGTGAATTATCGGAGGATCTAGAAAAGTAACCCCAGGAGTACATTTTTTAACTTTGTACTTTATTTCCTGTTGTGGTGAACAGCTTGATTATAAGATTAACATTATTAACTTTTTTTTTTTTTAGTTGGTTTGGGCGTCGAAGACAAAAAGGAAGAAGGAAGCGGACGAGGATGCAGAGCTGAGGTTGTGAGTGTTGGAATGGAACTCCGCTTTGTTCAACAGTAGGGGAGGGCAGACGGACGGATTCACACAGTTGCCTCGACCGCCGGATAGAAGCACTAAAACACAGACACGGGGACGAACGGTTCCGGCTAGATTTTGTCCAGCTGTGTCACAGCGTGCCTCGTCTTTCGTGGAACTTTTCGTGGATTTTTCCGTCACGCAGGGATGTCAAAGCGAGTACGAAGCAGAGAGGTCTGCGCTGATTGCAGTGCTCCGGGTATGATGTCAAACAGGCTAACGGCAGTGTTAGCTGCCAGGCTAATCACAGCTAACACCCACATCCGTTGATCCGCTTAGCCGTTAGCTTGTTAACCTTCACTAACACAAACACAAACGTAAAATAGCGATCTGGGAGCTTCGTAAAAACGTCGTTTTGTCAGCGAATACATTGTTCATCCTTGTGAAAACACTTAATAATGTGCGTCGTGTCTGTGTCTTGTCCTTGTCATTGCATTATCATGGTGTTGTCTGAATAATGGTATTTGTTAGTTGTTTTTTTTTTAATTTAGCCTGGCTAGGCTAAATTAGCGTACTGTTAACTACCTTCTCCCCCTTTTAAAACAATCCATTTAACTGTAATTATTTTAAGATTGATGAAAGCAGGCCCGTAATTGAACTGCTGAGGAATTGAAATTTTGGGGTGGGCACTTTTAAACCATCGTGATTTTTTTTATATATACGAATGACTGACTGCTGTAAAAATGTTGTGTAAATATTTGAAGATTAAAAAAAAATACAGCAGACATATGGTTATCCTTGTGTACAGAGTTGATGTCAGCGGAGTAAACACTGACACCACTGTTGGTTGATTCTGTTGAGTGAAACTACTGTTGGTCTTATTCTCAAGTAAATATTGCATGAGATATTTCTGGTAAACAGTGTTGCTCCGTGGGGCTCAATCTGCTCGCGCATCGAGTCACAACAGCCACGGAGACAATGGGTAATAAATGTGTTGTTGCCCCGTGAGGCGAGTGCATGAGTTTCTAGAGGACCTGAATCTGTTGGTTGTTTTGTTGAGTTAGTAGTTACAGTAAATATTTCCATTACATTTACTGTATATGTCTTGTTTTGTCTGTTGACTGTTTTGTCAACATGTAACTGTATGTTTGTTTGTTGCCTATTTCCTGTAGGTATTCGGTGTAGTTAGCTATGATTGCTTTGGTATGAGACTCATTGGGATTGTGTTCTTGACAATATGCAGTTGTACAACTACATTCTTTCATTTCGTCACCGATGACCTCGCAAAGTAGGAAATCACCATCTTACTTTGGCGGACTTGGGTCCTGAAGGCTTCAGGTTCGAGCTGCCAAGTTACCACTGAGGTGCACACAGCATTTGGTTGTGTGCAGTGGTGAGCTGTGTCACAATGACAAGTGGTTCACTTTCCTTTCCGTCCTTCCTTCCTTTAGAGGTTGGGGGGTTTGTGTGTCTTGGTGCAACCTAACAGAAAAGTAATACGATCAAAAGATAGTCGTCGGAAATTCATGTCGCAACCCATTTAATATGTGTATGATAGATATTTTTCATAGGGGTGTAAGAAATTATCAATACAGTGATATATCACAATATTTTGTTTCATGATAATGTGTCGTTATTCTACAGAACTGAATAGATTTTGCAATTCGTTATTCTACAGAACTGAATAGATTTTTTTTATATTAACCATTGACATGCAATTATTTGTGCCGTTGGTTAATTTTATTTTGCTTTGATTTCTTTTACTTGCGATTACAAATGTAGATCCTTCTGTTTGAATTTTAGTAACCTGATGTTTACCTGATGTGACCGTAGCATTGCAGCATATCGCAATATATACAGTATTGTTGCCCCGTATTGTAATACATATTGTATCACCAGATTCTGGTGGATATACACCCCTAATTTTTAAGCAGTTCCTCTCCAGGGAACCAGCATTGGTTCTCTGAGGTCTAAAAAAATACTGTACCTCATTTTGGATTGTTATTTGCTGTACAAATTTTCAGTCAATTCTGTCACACATTTATTATTTTTAAAAGATATATATTTACTGTACGAACTAGCAATCAAAGTGATTAGAGCACTAACGGACTTCTGCTCCATCAGAGTGTCTGCACTAGGGACAAACCAACCAATCAGATAAAAGCAACACAGTCAACATTGTTGTGGTCGATGCACTGACGCTTCCACACCTACGTCTCGTTGCAGAGCCTCGCTGGGCCTCCGTCAACAGGGGAGTGTTGATCTGCGACGAGTGCTGCAGCATCCACCGAGGTCTGGGCCGACACAGCTCTCAAGTCCGACATCTGACCCATTCATCATGGCCACCGTCCCAGTTACAGGTGAGTAAACTGGTTCATGGTTGAGGGTGTTAAGAAAGATTTCTTGACTTATGGGTTTGGTTTGTTATCGTAGTCAGTCACAGTCAAACGAAACACCATTAACCGTGGATGAGCGATCAGTGATGGTCAGCATCATGACGTCGTTGAAATAGTAGTTTCCGACATCCCACTTACTTTCCTTTAAATCACGGGTGTCAAGGTCGTTTTGGTTCAGGGACCTATTCAGCCTAGTTAGCTGTAGCTAGTCAGCTGAAAATAGCAACACATAAAGTACATGTTTTTCACCTTTGTTTTCATGCACGTACAAATATTTAAAAAATCAAACATAATTTTACAAAACATGTCATGAACATGAAGTGTTTGTCCATTTTTTTTTTTACTTTCAAAATTCATCTAGTGGGCTGGGTTTGGACCACGGGTCATATGTTGGACCCTCTGCTTTAGATTATTTACTGCAGGCCAAATAACACCATTCAAAGCCACTTTGGTGATGACCTAATAATGTCTGTATTTCCAAAAGAATTCAAATTGTGTCAGTTATTGAAATTTTACATTTTGATGTTTTAGAAGGTGTTTTTAATAAAGTATAAACCTGTGTCACAACATGTGGATCCAGTGTAGTGAATCAACTGTGTATAAAACACGTTATTGTTGTTGAACTGGTGACCTACCAATGTCACATTTGACTTAATTTGATCAGTTCTGTTTTATTTGTGTGACATTTAGGACACAGAACAACGGACACGGTGCTGTTGTTCTAAGTGGAAACAAACAAGTTTTAATCCAAACTAGAAAATACTTGAATTGTCTCTGGTTGTCTTGTTTCAGATGGTCCAGACACTGTATGGCAATGGAGCTAATTCCATTTGGGAGCATAGCCTTCTGGACCCTTCGTCCTCCGTGAGTGGAAAACGTAAAGCAAATCCCCAGGACAGAGTTCAGTAAGTGTCTTCAAGGATTATTTTTATGTTTGCTTTTATTTTGTTAAAAACATTATAACCTAGTCTGTGAGTCTGCAGGAAATAAAACTGACTTGAAGCTAGAAAAATAATACATTTGTATTATATTGATCCCATATTTGGGAAATTGTTGTGTTAGCAACAGATATGCTGTTAACAGGCTGCCCCTAGCAAGCGCGTGCTAACCGCTACACTATTGAACCAACTAAAAATGACTTGCATTGGCCGGGAATCGAAATGTCCCATAAAGGGTTAACTGAATGTATCCAGTAATTTGATCCTTTTGTTAATTCAAAGTTGTATTAAAATCACACAGAAACATTGTGCAGCCTCTGTTTACATTGTTATAAATAGCCGTAAATGTAAACCGCAGCTCGGGAGTTAAAGAACATACGTGGTCCGGAGCGTCAGTGAGACTGAAATGTTTTTCTAGTCTGATATAAACACTGTCAGATCGGTGTCTGGCCACATGTAAACACAGTCGTCCTCGCTCCGACCCAGCGCCGAGGCGTTCAGTCACAGGACGGGAGAGCGTGCGTTGCAACAGAGATGATGCAACTGTAGTGTTTGTCAGATTGAACTTTCCGCTTCATCTTTTATCCTGCGTCTCGTCACGCAGAAAAGGAAGTCATTTTGAAATACATCAACCAGTATGTCGTTTAACGGTCGTGGCCGATGGAATAATAATAATAATGAAACAAAAAGAAAAAAAGAAACTCCTAACAGAAATTCACTGATGCGGCAGTTAAAATCAACTGTAGCTGTGATCGCAACCGACGGTTCGAACACTAGCTAACAAAACAGATGCAGTAAAATAGCAAAGGAGAAGAAGAAGAAGAACCATAAAAGGCAGCGTCTTCCCTGTTTCTTTAGCTTGTCATTATCATAGTGAAGAATCACATGTACCCACATGTAAATCAAGGGGAAGTTATGAGTAAACACCTTTGTCTTCCACCAAAAAAAGAACAGGAAGAAGGCCGAGATCCTGTGCACTGTTGGTGTTTGGTTAGAGTCGGTGAAGCCTTAGAAAGAATCTTTTGATATAAAGTGCTATATCATTAAAAAAAAGACACTCAAATCTGAATTTTTGTTGTCGTAGGCACTTCGCAAATCTAATTGGCTTATCAATATTTTAAGTATCTTTGTTTCCTTTGGATTGGTGTGCCACAGGGTTCGATGCTAGGCCCTTTGTCTTTATTTTTATATGCCAATAATCTGTGTGGAGAAGTTGATATACATTTACATTTTGGTTCAAATGACCTCAGTATTTTTTTAAGTCTTACAACTCTTAGGTAGATCAGATGTAAACATGTCATTCTCACGTAGCTGTAGCTTTTTTCCGTCATGGGCTGCTGCCTTCACAGTGTTTCACATATTGAGAAAATAGTTTCCTTTTTAGACTTTTAGGGGAAGTTCAACACTTTATTCTGTTTTCCCTGAGTTTTATAGACGTTGCCTGTTGTTATCTGTGTTTTTAGCGTGTGTTTTAGTGCTTTATGTCTTTTAATCTCACTGCGACTTATACTGTATTTACCAGGTTTACTGTAAAGGATATTAAAAGTACTAACTGAAATCTGTCACGTCGTGATTTACAGTCCCAACAAGACAGAATTCATCAAGGCCAAATATCAGATGTTAGCGTATGTCCATCGAATGCCCTGTCGAGAGGATGATAGCGTGACCTCAAAAGACCTCAGCAAGGTGAGGAAAAAATCTTTTTTGTTTTGTACAAACATACATTTACAGATCAATGTATAACATATCATCTATATATAAAACATGGCGTTTTTTCTTGAATATTCGTCTCTTCTCAGCAACTCCACTCCAGCGTTCGCACCGGGAACCTGGAGACGTGCCTTAGACTCTTGTCGCTGGGAGCCCAGGCCAACTTCTTCCATCCAGTAAGTCTGGAGGAA